TGACTGGGATGGTTGGGCCACGTAGTACACATGCCCAACCACCGACTACCACGACGCGAAATGCTGACTAGGGTTGGAGACAGATGGAAGGTTAGGAGCGGCCAAACCAAAACATGGCATCAGTCCATAGAGTCACTAACTTCTAGGTTGAGTCATGTTGGTAGATACAGACTACTTGGTTGGTGTCTGCGTGACTATCGTAACCAATGGTTGGAGACTCTGGGTAACATGGCTCAGAATCGTAGCATCACAATCACCATTAAAGTAACTTCTTCCATGTATTAGGTGTTCATCTTGTTGTGCTAATGAGGTGTGGCAACTTGCACCGATGCATATATGGGCCTGGTTTTACTTAGTAGCTGACTGACTGATTCCAAGTTATCGCTTGCCTCGTGATGTAGTTTGATGATTACCTCAGTGCACATCCTATCCACTTCCAACATCTTTTCCTAATTTCCCCTTGAGCTGGAAGTTGGTTCGTCCTCTCCCACAATGGGCTGTTGTTGGTGGTATCCGGTCAACGGATATTCAGTATCTTACGTAGACAATTGTTTATAAATAATTGTACCATTTTGATGATGGTTGTATCAGTTCTCCAAGTTTCAGCTTCGTACTGAAGATTCTGAGTTTGACATTGGTTGCTAGTTGTTTCGAGTTCCATGTGTTCTTCAGTCGTGGGAATGCTCCGCTTGCTTCACCAATCCATGCTTTCATATCTGCATCAGATCCCCTTTGTTTATCTATAACGCTCCTAGGTATGTTAAAAGTTTCCACATCTTCCAGAGCATCTCCATCAATTGTGGTTTGGCTGGTGCTCGCTGTGTTATATTTCAGTATCCTCTTGCCTTGTGGATGTTGAGACTTATTGCTCCAGAGGTTGTTGCAACACTGTTTGTCTTCATCTGCATTTGTTTCTGTGTACAGGGTAGAATATTTAAGTGATCCAAGAAGCCTTGATTGTGTAGTTGCGTCCGAGGTCTCCGTGCTTTTCTTGAGATGTGACGGTTTTCACAATCCAGTCAACTACCAGAAGAAAGAGGAAAGGCGAGTGTAAGCATTGTTGTCTGACACCAGTCTTCACGTGCAATGAATCTGTGAGTTATCCTTCATGCACCACATTGTAGTGTCGTCCGTCGTAAGAACTTCGTATGATGGTGACGATCTTGTCAAGTACACCATAGCGTTGAAGAGGGTCGCATAACGGTCTACTATCGGCGCTGTCAAATGCTTTCTCAGAGTCAAGAATGTATGGTGAGGAGATACATCCAGTTGATTGTTCAACAATGACCAGTAGTGTCACAATTTGGACTGTGCACGACCAACACTTACAGAATCCAGCCTGTTGATCTCGATGCTGTGAGTCCAAGAATCTTTCATCCAGCTTAGCCTCACTGTGTTGATGATGTATTTGTAAGACACATAAAAATCACACCCAATCATCATTTAAGATTATGTAACTCTTTGTGATTGTGGGAATAGAAAGTGTTCTTATCTCTTGAACCTAGGGATTTTATAATGTGCATTTCGAGCAAGAGATTATATATGAACTGTTCAGTTGAGAGTGACAAATAAATAGCTGCTCATCAGATCACGAAATCGACGTCATGACACACCATAGTGATTGAATAAATTTACGTAGAAGGGTATGAAGTGGGACCTGATAGTAAAATGAAGCTTTAATCAAAAACAGTTCGAATCAATTCGGCGAAAGTGCGATGGTAGTTCATAGTTTTACGTCCAAATTTTGATCTTGTCCGTTATTGATGCACTGTTGATCGGTCCAGTGTAACTTTTAACCCTGAATTTCGGCCCAAGTGCCAAAATAAGTCATTTATTACGTGAAATCCGCTTTTAGTTTTTAGGTTTCCAGAACAAAACGCCCCAAATATAATAGAAAAAGTAGACTGAAAGCAGAATATCCGAGGTAAAAGCTCTGAACATAATAATTCAGAATTTGAGTAAAGTAAATGCATCTAAAACACAGTGAGATTTATAATATTTAGCATAATAATTTTTTTCTTCTTGCAAAAATCCTGAGCGAAAGAACATAATTTCTTTACCCATGAGATTAAATTACCAGCACCAATCCGAGGAGTCACAACCAATCAACAACAACTAATAAAAAAGTTAAGAATACTAACAAACCTCAGAGATACACCTGAATCCACAATCAACTTCACTGTTCCTAGGGCTTGCATCATTACATTTAAAAATTCGAGTAACTCCTTCCGACCCACAGCATTAAGAAGAAACAATTTTTTTTACTATTTCCAAGATTGCCCTCTTCGTTCTCTACTCAACTTGTCGTCAGACCACCAACTGATCTGGGCAGGTTTTAAAACGTTGAGTAGTTGATATACCGAAATAATTTGTTAGATAACAGCCACCAGGAAACAATACTTCATGAAATAAGATACAATGTTAAAGTTGAATAACTGAAATAGCTCTGATGTGTTATAACGTCAAATCGAAATAACATCGCTTTTCCGTATACCGACAGGTGCACTGAATGTTCGTTTGGGTATTTTTGGTGTAACTGTTGGATGTTTGAATAAAAACACATATGAAGACTGTGGTGGTGTTTGTGGAGAATTCCGAAGGCCGCTTACATATTTCCTAAGCCTGTATTGCATGTAAACAAAGCGAAAACGGAATTAAAATGACTGTCGTGTAATAAGGAAATCGAGCCATGATTTGCCATGTGAAATAATAGCAAATACAAAGAGTATAGTTAACATGAATTAAAATGGTAGTCACCAATGTAACTTAAGCTTAGACGGTTCATGTAATCTGGTCATTTCGTAAAAGGCGGATGCAAAAAGCTTATTTCCCAGCGTTAAATGAATTTGCGTACGACAAGGTGTCTAGTTAGGACATGGAATTAGATTGAACGTGTACATTCAATATGTTTTACCACAGTATGTCGAGTTACGTGTCATAAATCAACATGATTTCTATTAGAACTTGACGGCAGTGACAGAATATATAATCATTCTACATGAAAGAAACTAGTGAATGTTATTAGACATCACAAAAATAGTAAGAAATAACCTAATGCAGTTTTGAAACCCGCTTGGGTTAGTCTCGCTCCCAAGTAATGAAAATCTGAAGTAGACAGTAGTTCAAATCTAAATTATAAACGAGGTACTATTGGTTAAATTCCTGGATTGGCACAGTGTTGTGGACTGAATTTGTATAAGTCCAAAATTAACTGAAGCCAAATGCATAGCACTGCCTGACGAACAGTTCAAATGAGACCTAAGATTGCAGGATATTTATGGTTCAAACTCATCGTAAATTTCTAATATTCGTATCGCCTGTTTGGCCATAGAACTCAACATTTGGAAATTAAAAAGGCAGTGGTCAAATAAGTAAAACATTGTAGTGGATAGTGATTAGGCACATAGATGAATTTATAGTTGACAGTTAATCTTGTCTTGTTTATACAAGTGGATAAGTTGCAAACGGATGTACGATTGTGTTGCCTTGTGGCTATGTTTATGAGTAGTTGATATTTTAACGGACACATTATACAGCAACATTTATATCCCGCTAATGCTTGTCAACAAACCACGATAGACAATTATAATAGTCGTTGACTGATTAGTCCTATCAATAGTACTAATTATTAAGGTTTAAAAAACCATCAACATTGACATGAAATAACGAACGTTCACAGTAATTGATTAACATACGCGAAGACAAAAATAAAAATAAATAAATATAGAATGCAATATAAAAGATAACAATGATAAGTTCCGTTATTCGAAAACTTACTCACCAGTGTACATCAACAACGTAGATAATCTATGTCGAATGATTGGAGGCCTACTTGAGTCAGACGGGAATGTTATGACAAAACAGCTAACTTTGAAGTCACACTTTGCGGTCAACATCCAACGTGGATTATCCCTTCGATACTTCAAGGTACTATGGCTGCTTTGAAGACTGTATAACACAAAGGATTTTATTAAGGAAATATATCAGTAAGAATGAGTACAGAGAAGATAGCGAGATCATCACCTCATGCACCAGTTCATGACATACGATCCACTGATGAACGTTGGTTGTGAGATTAGATGGTGGTTAGAGGTAGTCAACAGGAAACCCTGGACCCGGGTTTCGTGCTACTTGGCACTCGTCAGCAAGGTGTACCTGTAATCTTGAGGGAACTGGTGCTCCCTGGCGGATTCGATCTCGTGTCACCCAGCTTCACAGTCAGAGACGTTACCACTGAGCTATCCGAGCCGTGACTAACCTCCTGTAGGACTGAGATGTAATTACAATTGATTGATCACTGGGTGGTGATCAATCTCATGCTTGTCTAGTCCTTATTAGTGCAGATCGAATGCTATCGATCATGTTGCAATATGGCCTTGCTGACGAGTGCCAAGTAGCACGAAACCCGGGTCCAGGGTTTCCTGTTGACTACCTCTAACCACCATCTAATCTCATTACATAGTGCCCGCAGTGTCGAGTCACCTAGACTGGTGGCCACATTGCAACATGATCGATAGCATTCGATCTGCACTAATAAGGACTAGACAAGCATGAGATTGACCACCACCCAGTGATCAATCAATTGTGAACGTTGGTTGTCCTTGACTTTGACAGGGATCGATGATCTGTTTGATATTCAATGACCCAACTGCCGGATGATTTGGCTAGGGCTCTGCGACATTTCACTGGCCCTACACCGATACTCACATTTGTGTGAAAGGTAGTGTTCGCACCAGTACGCCCAACTGTCCACCATTTTTATAACCACCTGGGAAATATCTCGAAGGTCAGGCTCTATGGCATAAATTACGACAGCTGGCTTAAGTTCCCTACAATACTGAAGTAGCCTACACAACCCAATCACAATTGAACTCAACGTTGAATTTGATGTAAGTGAGGATCTATGGCTAACTTCAAGCTCAAAACGCAGGTCAATGCAACATAAAAGTACAATTAAAACACAATCGTGTAGTGCGTTTAACTGTTTCGAACAATCAGTTTCCAGACCAGTTGTTCAGTGGCGGGAACTGGTTGACCCTGAGAGTAGTCATGTTTCCCATTGATTGGGTGTGCACTACTGCTCGTTTGGAACCTATAGATTATGTTCGAAAGCCACAGGTTATCCTACGCTTAATTATTGTGGTAATTTCATTCCATGTATAAGAAAATAAATACATTTAGATATTAGCAGTTGTCAATATTGCAATTGTACATAACGGCTGCTATATTTATGGGAAGTGCTTGTTTAATGAAGATCAGGCATCTTGTGGATATAGTTTGCTTCTTTCTTCGTCAACATTTATTCTTTGCCTCGCCTATCTTTGGTTGGATTTAATAGTGGACAATGTTTCGAGCATTGACATACGTTTGCGAATCGCTAAATTCGACGTAGTATTGTCAGGTAATTCTTAGATTTTGATTGCACTCGGTATAACAACAATTCACTGCCTTTCAGTCAAAGTTTTCGGCCAGTTTATTGCTCGATTTAGCTGGTGAGACTATTCAGACATACGTAAGAGTAAAGTCCCTTAAAGATTCACAACTTCAAAATGACTGTAGTGTTTGATAGCGACTTCCAACAGCGGAATTTATTGCTCAAGATTCATATAAAGCGCTTCATTCTTCATATCATTGTATGCGCAGATTAGGCTAACAACCAAGTAGGTTCTAAGTTACATCGGTCGGTAGCTAGCATTACTGCAACTTCGTTTGTTTCTTAATCTATTCAACGAATTGTGGTCCTCGAGGGTACAAGTGACATAGTTTAATCTTCAGTAATCAGAACAATAAGTCGGTTGACCATTGTTAATCCTTACAGTCAGTCAGCTACAACATAGGACCAGGCACATATATACATCGGTTCAAGTTGCCACACCTCATTAGCACAACAAAATGAACACCTAATTCATAGAAGTAGTCACTTCAATGGTAGTAGTGTATGAAAGAAAGATTTTTTATAAGGATATAGTACGGGAAGGAAGAATTAGTTCGTAGAAAGAAAGATATAAAGCAATTTTAATCTCTTAGTTTGACGGATGACAAAAAGTGTATATGTAGTGGCATTGGACAATAGCCACACAATCTTATAGATTAGGCAGTTATATCATGACGAATCTACAAATTTAGGATTAGGTCTATTATTAGAGCAGTACTAATATCATAGTAGACCATAATTCTACATTGGTGAGCCCAACTAAAGAAACGCAACCTAATATTATTAATCCTTATTTCCACTTCAACTTTCTCGATCGATTTTATATTTATGTTAACACTGTATTCTAATAGTCCTCTGATTAATGCTCACATGCATTATCGTAATGTTATATTGATTAGTCCTCATGACAAACTCGCTCAATCGATAATAAAAACTGGTCGTCTATATTAACTAATTAGCTTTGATGATTTGTTAACAAGCTGTAATAGCATTTACATGCTTCAGCGACATAGTCTTGTTTAAACATCAAGCTCTAGCAAATATGACCTGTAAATATACATTGACTAACAATGCGATCAAGGAGTAAATAGTTATCTGGATCTAATTCTCAGTGTTCCTTCACTTAACACATCCTGTTTTAAACGATGCACTATCCTGTAATATCTTTTCTTCTGACCACTGCCTGCCTAATTTCATATTCTCGAGTTCCATTGCCAAGCAACGAGGATGACTACTCCAAAAACATACGGTGAGTTCCACCTATAAGTTTTCTGCAATCATAAGTTCATTTTAGATGGCACACACAATTATCTGGATTCATTCAGTTGTTCTGATCAGAGCGAGTCCCAAAGACCTCAACAGCATCAAGCACCCTGGAAGTGATTGCCATACTGTATGTTTTATTCTGGATGCTTTTGGATCATTACTACTCCTCACGAATGGCGTTATATATGTCGTCCACTGAATAATCTAATTTTCAAAAATAATCAAGGCGAGTTCAACTATTTTACTGGATGATTTTTTTTGTTGTACTTAACATGTATATGTTTTTCAGTTGCTTTTGCCATATATTTGTAAGTGTCACTAAGCTAAATGCAGTAACTTCTTATGGAAGGCTTATAACGCGTCATATTCCTGCCTGAAGTTTCATAAGCAGCCTGGTCGTGTTCATTATTTTTTAACTGTCATATACGTCAACAACCTGCTTGTTAACCTGGCCCGTACATACGTTACACTATATCTCCATGTCTTCTAAATTTAGAAATCATCTGAATCGCCTTTAACATTTATCAATAAACCCATCATAGTCGTTGTTGCTAATCGTATTTGGGTTTATGGATTGGTTTATCATATTAGCAGCCTAAAATGCGAACATAGTTTAGATAATAATATTAAAAATTTAGGTACTGTCAACTGCACTAGTAAAATAACTAAATCATCAGGTAGTTGTTGGCTAAACAAACGTTTAAAATCAAAACTCCGTAGCCTGCTAGAATTAACACTAAACGAATATTTCTGAATTGAAATTTATAATTAAATTAGGCGTCTCGGATTCTTTAACGTTATAAGTTTCTGATGATTTCGAATCACCTAAAGCAACAATACCTATTTTTCCACTGACTAATCCTCAGTCAACACTATAACTAGTTAAATTTAATAGTTTCAGGATATCGTCATAAAGCATTGTCATAACTTGACAATCACGTAATATGACTGATAAAATTAATAAAACTATTAACGAAATCGGTCAACAAATTGACTTATAATTACCATTAAATGGTGTTGTTTTCTTGGTATCTTCATCCATCACAGATGATTACAGTATGTTTCTCTATCAGTTGCTCATTCAATAAATATCTCAAAACCTTTTCAGTCTAATTGATGGTTTAGCGACACAATCATGCATGCAAATAATCAGTATAAGCAGTCGAGCAAATCTCCTGTAAACTGAAAACATCAATGTCGAATTTACCCCAACACTGACTAAGGTTCAAGCCATTATCATAGACATGAGTTGGGAGTGTACTCCCCCTGGTTACAACTTATGTTCTCCCTGATAATCACAAGAGCATCACTCACTATTAATCATCTTGTAAAAACTTATTTAGCTAAATACATTTTGCAGCACCACATCACTTCGTAATATGACACAGGTCTAACTGATTTTAATAACTTGTAACCACTATATCTCAATTAAATCGTGTTCCGCCTTATGATAAACTGCATACTTGCAACTAACTTGTATGTCCAATCAGCCGGCAAGTATAAATACAAGTAAATAGTCTGCCACAGATCAGAACATTGAGTCTAGAGCATGTCTCTTACGAATACGCTCATGTTTAACGATTTGTTCCTAGCTATCTGTCCAAAATTCATATAATCATCACTCACGTATTTAAATTTTATTTTGGTAACCATTCATGTGTATTAGTAGTATTACCAAATTCTATCACGGTCAAGTAAAAATGAGGTTGAGAAAATCTCCCCGTAACTAAATAAACCGTATCAAACTAACTGGAACACTAGTTGGAATTCTTTACCATGGTAATACTTTTGTTCCTTCAGTTAGCCTACTGATACAGATGCAATTGGAAATCAACTCTTATGGACAACTTACCGGCATAATCGTTATCTGATTTCATAATTTGAACCAAAACTAATACCAATATTAACATTTCTACAATATTCATTATTTTAATATTTCTAAACACAAAATACTTACTACCTATACGTCAAGTTATTAACCAACGGCTATTAACACGCATTGTTTTATTATTATTACTGTAATCCCATTTTTTTTATAGCTCAAATAATCTTCACCCAAATTGTCATTTTAAGTGTGTTAAGCATGAAGGCAGATTTTTTTTAAAAAAAAATTATTACATGTATTTCCCGACCAGATGCTGCCGCCTTCTTTTTGAATTATCTTTCAGCTTATCATTACCCGGGGGATTCTTCCTAGTCTTGGTAACCTTCGGCGCACGACGATCCCATCCAATTTGGTATCGAACCAACATCACGTTGATTCTGGTGGGAGAGTAGTGTAGTGGCATTGGACAATAGCCACACAATCCACAAAGCTGTGAACACGAGACTACTCAGAAAATAGATATTCAATATTTAACGCGGAGAAATACCTAGAATGAAGAAGGCGCGAACAATGAATTGAATGGATTGGAGTTGATCGAGTGGCATGGCTCGGCCATGCAGGCGTGGTCTCTATTCATATTAAATATATTGTTCTTTCTCCAACGTAACCTCGTTCTTCATCATGTATTGGTAATTGATACGATACAGTGAGTTGGCGTAGTCGATGGTGTGACTTCCACGTAAGATCTTATAGATTAGGCAGTTATATCATGACGAATCTACAAATTTAGGATTAGGTCTATTATTAGAGCAGTACTAATATCATAGTAGACCATAATTCTACATATACACCCACGTCATTGTGATCGATTCTGAGCTATGTTACCCAGAGTCTCCAACCATTGGTTACGATAGTCACGCAGACACCAACCAAGTAGTCTGTATCTACCAACATGACTCAACCTAGAAGTTAGTGACTCTATGGACTGATGCCATGTTTTGGTTTGGCCGCTCCTAACCTTCCATCTGTCTCCAACCCTAGTCAGCATTTCGCGTCGTGGTAGTCGGTGGTTGGGCATGTGTACTACGTGGCCCAACCATCCCAGTCAATGAAGATTCACAACCTCATTAACTGATTTACAATCATTCACTAATATCCTGCATATAACCTCACTATTACTTAACCGGTGATCCCAACAGATGTTGGCAATATTTCTAAGGCATCTGTGGTCAAATACTAGTAACTTACGAGTATCTTCTACTCTTAATAGTCACGTTTCGCAGCCACAAAGTAAAACAGAACGAACTGCTGCGTAGTATACTCGTCCCTTAACTGACAGATGGATATTTCGCCAACCCCATAGGTGGCGTAAGTTTGCGAAAGCCAAAAGAGCTTTCTGAATCCGTGCTGAGATTTCTCCAGACAATAACGCATTGAGGCTGATCACACTTCTAAGATAAGTGAAGTTGTCGACGTGTTCGACCACTTCACTCCCTATCCCTAGTTCAGGTGTTGACGCAGACCAGTCGTGAAGCAACAACTTGCATTTAGAGGGAGAGAAGCGCATTTCAAACATTCTGGCATTGTTGCTAGGTGCTACCAGAAGACTGCACTTTATCAGCGTCTTCACCAAACAGGACTATGTCATCTGCGTATTCTAAGTCGATAGGTGGACCTTTTAGAAGGAGATCAATGCCCGAGAATTCAGTCGACGAGAACATTATTTCCGTCAGTATGTCTATGATGAATTTGGACAAAAATGAAGAGAGTGGACAGTCTTGATGAATACCACTTGAGATTGCAAAATCAGAAGTCAGTTAGACATAAGCTCACAGTCTCAGTGATAGGCAGTCGTTTAGAATCATGTGGTTCCTGGTTGTGTAGTGGGATAATATTAAATTCTAGATTTATACTGATTTTCATGGTTCGTGTTGATAGTTGTAAGTCAGCCGAATTCCACTACTCATCGTTCAATGAAGGATCTAACCTCTGTTTCGGCAGTAATATTTTTGATAGATGTTGCTTCTGGCCATCGTGCAAAACTGTCTACACACGTTAAGAGTTATCTGTGCTCATCTAAATCTGGCAAGGTTCCCAACACATCACATTGAACATGGTTGATTCGAGCGCTGGGAGCTGTAAAAGATCCTAAAAGATATTTGATGTGTCCGATCACCCCAGAGTTTGGCAGTTTGCACAATAGTGTTCCTATTTTCTCACGTCTTCATTCATACCAAGCCAGCAATATTGCTCTATTATGAACACTTGGATGTGTACGTTCGTGCAAAGTATTGAAGATGTTACGTCGATAACACTTCAGCATGATTGTCACAAAGTAATGTTTCCTTACTTTTTATCATCTGATCCATAATTTTGGGGTTATTGGAGATTATTCGTGCTGAAGCTGCGCGAGATTAAGAGGATCGATTCCTCGGAAGCTGTTCAGAGAAGTTATGTGATACAAAGTGTTGTATATCTTAAGTGAGCGGTGAAATGTGATCCAGTTGTCGAAACTCTCTAGAGGAGTACTTGTCTGAAGATGAGCTTATCA